TTTTTTTTTTTTTTTTTTTTTTTTTTTTTTTTTTTTTTTTTTTTTTTTTTTTTTTTGGCCAATGAAGGCATACTGACCTAAGCAGGCTTGAACCAGAGTGGGCTCAAATCTTTACCAATGAATCATATGGTCACTGCAAAGAACTTGCCCTTACCTCCAAGGTTAGAGAAGTGAATGGTTTCCAAGAGGCCAAGTTGGACTAGCTGTGGGTTTATCCCAATTTATCCAAAGACTGTCCACAAAAGACTGACTGCAGGAATTGGGGTTACAGTACTCTGAGTGAGGACCTCTGGCGTTGTCTAGGACCTTAACACTGCTGTAGAACTCTTCAGAGATTCTTGTCCCACATGAAAATAAGATTTACTCTGCCTCCCCACATAAAGTATAAGCTCTTAGTTATGATGTAGACTCAGCCTGTAGGGGCCAGGAAGATCAGAGATGCGAAACAGTCCATTTGCACAAAGAAATACACCCTCTCCTATTTTTTCTGGAAATGCATGGTCCTTTTTCAAAATTTCTCTTGAGTCGACATGGGATAGATATTTCTGTGGGTAAAATGGTTCAAGTGTGTGTATCAAGGTCTTGCACACTTCCCCTCTGATGGTGGGAGTGCAGTGAAATGTAGAGAAATATCCTATCTTAAAGGTAGATGTTACAGTGTCTCCCAGGCACTAATGCAGTTATCTGAGCTCAATGGTGGCACATCTCATTTTTTGAGAGAAGTCAGAAATCTAGATTTTCATGCAAAGTCCCCTCAGTTATGAATGTTGGCTAGTTATTTTAAGACACTGTGCCAGCCACAGCCAAACATTGTATGAACCATGAAGGCAGGATGGGAGGGCCTCAAGACTAGTGACAGGACCCCAGGTTCCGACAGCCTTAAGAGAGAGTGGCATGATGGCTAGATGCATAGTAACACTATGACCTCATGACACAAAGTGAACTCTGCAATGGCTTCTTGGGGATGAACACAGTGTTCTCAGCATATGCATGTTAATGAAGTCCAAACTCAGGTCTTACTATCATCCTTAGCACACTAACAGAGGGACCCTCAGTTGCTCTGCATAAATCCTATGGCTGCCAGGGCTACAAGGGGGGCCTGAGAGTAAGCAAGGCAGGCCTTCTCTTATGATCCTGACCATAGGCAGGTGGAAGTATATGATTTCATCACAGGGCTGAGGAACTGAGAGGAGGCAAAGGCCAAGAGTGAGCCCACTTTTCTAGTGCACTGAATTCAAGAGAGTGAATTGAAGTAGCACCACCACTTACCAGTTGTCCCTTCTCTCAGCCTCTCTTCGAGATCTTGTGACCTTCCAGGAAGCCCAAAGGTCCAAGATATAGCCTCCCTCCCCTCACATTTTACCAAAAGGGAGTGTGGCGGCCACTCATTTGGGCTCCATCCTTGGTGCCTCAGCCTCAGGGTGTGATTGTTATACACACACATAAACACACGCATATATGTATTACACATATGATTATATGTATGTATGTATATATATGGAGTCAATAATGACCAAATGGACAACTCATTGGCTTAAGGTAGGCTATTCTTATTTGTTTTAGCTCATGCTGGAACCATTATAGTGGGCAAGATACATCCTGTGAACAAAATGCCAGAACCTTGGAAGGAAGCAAGAAATTCTACTCTGTCAGCACTGGGATGGGTAAAGGATTTCACCCAGCAATAAATAAATGGCAACAGAGGGAAAAGCAGTTTGGCTCAGGAGAAATAAAGTCCTGATCAAGTCCAAAGACAATATCACAATTGCCTCAACACGTACATCTTTGATCCTGTCTTGTCTGAGTCTCCCCATTTAAGACCTGTATGTGCTGTGCACTCAGCTTTGTACTATACTTGCAACCCCATACCCACTTCAATGAGCATAGCCTGGGACAAGCTGGGCCCCTCTTGTCCATCTCCCAACAAAAAGTGATTAAAGTTGAGTATGTCTGAGCCCTCCTCCACTATCAGGAATTGGGGAACAGCGCCTAGAAGGTAGGGACTAATGTCCACAGCCTGGTTCAGCCTCTCTTCCCATGTAGGAAGGGAGAAATGTTACTATGGGGACAAGGTAACACTGGGGGTGGGGGGTGTCCTTCAAAAAACCTCCCACACATCTCCCCTTCCATGAAAAGCCCACTCAGCTTAGGGAGGTTCAGAGCTCAGATCTGTCCTAAAAAACCCCGAGGCAAACAGAATGGCACTAAAGGAGTACTTTACTAGTTCTGGGCCTAAGGAGAAGCTGAATTAGATGGTTAATAAATTTTATTGACTACCCTGCATGAAATATTCTGGAATGTCCCCCCACCTCCATCCCCCACACACACCTGAAGCCTTCTGGAGTTTTCTATTTCCATGTTCTGGGGCCCCAGGAAATATTCTTGACTGTGATCTTCATAGAAAGAAAACATACTTGAAAGGTCTATGTCAAGGAGCCCATTCAAAAGGTCTCAGCTATTACAGACCACTAGTGCTGTTACAAACAAGACCCAGAAGAACTCCAACTCCTTTTTATAGAAACTATGATAGAATCTTGCCCCAACTCCCTGGTTGAGAATCACTAGTTACTGTATTATTTTACTAAGCTTCAATTACCGTAGTTTATACTTCAAAAAGAACAGACTCTCCCTCGTTTTTTTCAAATATGAAACATAACATTAAAATGTTCTTTTTCACAGTACATATCCCCACCCCACAAATCAAGGCTCACTGAGCACAATGGGCCTGAATAAGGGTGGGCCCAAATTTTTACTATTGAACTGTGGTCACTGCAAAGCCATGACTAAGAGCTTGCCTCTGACCTCTAAGGCTAGAGAGAATCGAAGAGACCAAGTTGAAGTAGCTATGGGTTTATCCCAATTTATACAAGGATTTCACACAAGAGTGTGAATGCAGGAATTGGTATGAATATATACAAAGCACCTCTGGCTTTGTTTAGCCTCCAGACTTAGGCCTGTACCCTTGTGGTAGATCTCTTGTAAAGGTTTCCCTATGCCACAGCTTTACAGTTAGCCCCACTGCATAAGTATTAGAGCACTGACAATCTCACAGCCAGGCACTCCCTATGTGCAGTGACTCGGGGTTAAGAGAGCCTGACTACTACCTCTCTAGCCAAGTGATGACTGACCAACTGTTTAGCACAAATTAGAAATAGGAAAAAAGCCTCAGGCAGTTCTAAACAAAGAACCGAGTTTCCACCACAGGCCTCTTAATCCTCAGTAATCCCACTAACTCCAAACTCCCCAAATTCTCCATAGCCTCAAGCAACCATGTTTCTAGGACTTGGCTTATAGGGCCTGCAATAAGCACTGCAAGCTAAACAGGATGGGCAACACTCAGAGGAGCTCTATTTCTGGAGAGGGCTGGCTGGTAAAGGGATAACCAGGTGACAAGCACACACTGTCCCAAGGATAAACTTGACTCTACCGGCATGTTTTAACCACTGAAACCATTAGAAGAATGGATAATAAAGTGTGACAGACCTCAAGAGAGCAAATGATTTGCTTTCTGCTGTCATGCCCATAGAGTAACTTCCCCAAGGTCATACATTAGATAAGTATGGGCACAGGAACACTCATTCCTTATGCTCCATGACCTTGCTTTCCCACGCCCTCATGCCACCAGCAGAAGGGGGAATGGGGTTTGGGGCTGACCATAGCAAGGTTTCCATATACCACATTTTTAGCCTACATCAGGTCTCACCTGTGGCTTGGGGAATTCACAGAAAGACAAAGTTGTACACCTCAGAATTTTTCTTTTGGCAGCCAACAATTGGTCACATTGCACGTTTCAAGGTTACAGAGCCCCATGGTACAAACATGGGGCAGAAGCACACAATTCCTGCTCAGAGCTTTATGATAAAGCCAGAACAAGTGTTCCAGAAGTTGACAACATGAGGAAGGCAACCTCTGGAAGCAGGCACCCATGGGACTCCAGAAAACCCTTCACTCCTAGGCTTTCAGGGCTCTTCCTTCTGGGGCCTCCTTCTTGGGCATCGAAAAGCCTCCTTTTCTGGACCGCTGGGGAGAGGGATGTGCAGGTCAACCGCTAAGCTGGGCGGGTGGGGAAAAGGAGGGGGAAAGTGGTTCCTTCGGACCCCAGCAGAGGTAGACTGTGGAAAGCGAACGGTTCAATACAGGAAAGGCCATTTTCTGGGGTCTGCTCCCCTTCTCTTCTCTCTCGATTAAAAACGAATGCTCATGATGATGAAGATTGCTAAGAGAAGTAAGACTAAAGTTGTGTCTCGGATCTCGTCCCAGCGGAAGCCCTTCTTAGCCCGATCCTCTTGCTGCTTGCGAAGGGCCTCACGGCGGGCCTTCAGGCGGCGTTCGCGCTCTAGCTGTTCTCCGTAGTGCGCCTGGTAGAAGGCGTCAAAGTTGAACATAGTGCGTTCGGAGCCAGGCGAGGCCTGACCATGACCGTGGGTACGAGAGGCGGGCGGCGGGGTGCGGGGCGAGCCGGGGTCCGCTGAGGGCGTCGTGGAGGGACGGACGCCAGGTCCGCGTAAGTCCATGTCGCTGAGCAGGCCGCGGTCATATTTGCGGCGCAGGGTGGCACTGCCCAGTACCACGTATGCCTCGGAGATGCGCGTAAAGCGCTCGGCAGCCTCGGCGCTCCCCGCGTTACGGTCCGGGTGGTAGAGGAAGCTTTGCCGGTAGTAGGCGGCCTTGATTTGCGCCTGCGTGGCCGTGGAGGGGACGCCAAGAAGCTCATACAATGCCGTGCGCGAGTACGGGCCGTCGCTCCGAGAATAAGTCCTCGCCTCTAGGCCCAGGAACGACACCCGGTTTTGTGGAGGACCCCGGGCCTGCCACAACCTCCACAGTAACAGCCGCGGCCACCTCAGGCCGTGCTTTGCTGCCATCTTGACCGGATCTGGCGGGCGGTGCAAAGATTAACTGGCCAATGGGAGACGTGCGTTGTTCGCAGCGCGTCAGCCCTGTAGCCAATCGAGTAAGAAAGAAGGCGGGGAGAGGAGTAGAGCTTGTGTATTACGAGGCGGGTGCGGCTCTGATGACATAAAAGCCGGACTCGGGGGAACACCCGCCGTCGTGCAGCGACGGTGAGGGTATGGCGTGCCGCGGAGGCAGACCTGAGCACGGCGGGCCCCCAGAGCTGGTGAGCCCTGTGGCCCTCGGGCACCCCTCTGTCTTAATGAACCTCCGCGTGTTGATTTCTCCTCCTACTACCCTTTTCTCTTTCTTATTCCCGCAGTTTTACGACGAGAATGAAGCCCGGAAATACATGCGCAAGTAAGGGAGTTTGGCTGTTGCCCGGCTTCGGGAGTGGGGACCCCCGAATTTCCCCTGATTTGGGGCATCGCTTGGAAAGCTAGCAGAATTTGGGGGTGGGGTGGGAGGAAGGGACTTGGGTTGATTCCATTTTCTTACACTGGCAAAATCAGCTTTAGTTAAATCTTTGAACCATCTGGGCCTCAGTTACCTCAGTGTTAATATGGGAGTGATCATATTTTTTTCTGGGTTGTTTTCTAAGTTTATTGTGACAACTTGTTTTAAGCATGGGGTAAAATATTCAAGGGGTAGTGGATACGTATAAGGGGTTAGTGCTATCGGGGAAAAGGAAATAATATTCGTAAATGTTTACTGTGTGCCCCTGTTGTATTATCTCGCTAAATCCCCTTGACAACTGTTGAATTTCATAGAGGGTAGTTATTTCTAAGAACTACAAAGTCAAATAACAGGAGAAGGCTAGAGCAGACACTTCCAGACCTCTCCTTTCTGATAAACCACTCTGTAAAATAATCTGCAGGTACTTGATCTTGGGAAAGCCAGATATATTCTAAACCTATTCTGTGCTATAGTAACCAGTAGCCATCAGCCATCTATTGAAATGTGTCTAGTCTGAATTACTTAGATGAAGAAAATGTAAAATATTTTATTGATCATTTTTCACATTCATTACATGTTGAAATAATTTGAGCATATTGAGTTAAATAAAATATATTATTAGGTACATTGGATTTGGTTAACTATTACAGTTAATTTTACATACTTAATTTCATTTTAACTGTGGCTTTTAGAAAGTCATATGTAGATTGCATTATATTTCTCATGGACAGCACTGCTATAGGTTTTTGTTGTGCATTCTTGATCCTTATATCTGAGAGTAATTGTGGTGGGTAATTCTCCCAGGAAACTTGTTCTTAAGTAATAAAACATGAAAGCCTGATAGATTTGAAAATACTCAACGGTCGATCATTAGCTAAGTGATTTGTTCGCTTTATGTTAGCTTTGCATCAGGTACAGTTATAATTTGTGTCACAACAGAATAACATGTCACTGTGTTATATGGACATTTGGGATCACTTTTAAATAGTTGTAGTTGAGTTTGTTGATCAAGAAAGAGCATCTTGTTCTTTTTTCTCCTCCTTTGGTGTTTTTTTAGTCTGGGTGCAGTTTTGGCCTAGAACTTTACTACTTGTTTGTGTTTCTGCCTTCCTAGCTCTAGGATGATTGAAGTCCAGACCAAGATGACTGGGCGAGCATTGGAGCTCCTTGATCTGCCTGATGAGAAGCCCTGTTACCTGTTGGATATCGGGTAAGATCCTAGGGCCCAGTCAGATTGCCCAGGTCATGGGGCATCTTTGCTACACGGTTGAGTCCCTATTTGATTGTATCTTCCAGCTGCGGCACTGGGCTGAGTGGAGATTATCTGTCCAATGAGGGGCACTACTGGGTGGGCATTGACATCAGCCCTGCCATGCTGGGTAAGTATGTTCTGTTTAGCACTGGGGTGGACCACCCTCATGAGTATGGAGCAGCTACGCACATAGTCTGTTTCCCTCACTTTTCTGTGATGTAGATGCGGCCTTGGACCGAGAAGCAGAAGGAGACCTACTTCTGGCTGACATGGGCCATGGCATCCCCTTCAAACCGGGCTCCTTTGATGGTTGTATCAGGTAAGAGTCTTCATGTTTTGCGTTTAGTCCTGCAGGCCAGTGCACCTGGCTGTGCAGCAGTCACATGGGAAACTTAAAAATATACATCCCTCAGAATTTTTAGATTAAAAAGGTCAAAGCAAGGCCCCAAAATATGTATTTTTTTAATTTCAGAACTATCTACTGTGATTATCTTGCACTGCTGAGTTCATGCATAACGTATAGATTCTCTGTCTGCTTTGAGTGTGTGTGGTAGGGGAGGGGTGGTCTTTTGAGCCAGGAGGAGCCATCTTGGGGTTCCCATGGCCATCTTGTTGCTCTTCCCAAGAACTCTAGTGGAGAGTTTCCTAAACTGCTCCAATCCCTTCAGCAGCTCAGGAGTCCTTTCTGGGGTATTGGTCAAATTTTGAGCATGTACATAATACTTGAATAACGGATCTTAGACCATTGCCATTACTGTTAAAAAACACAAAGTTGTTCTTTGTCTTCTGTGGTAAGTTCTGTTTAGTATTTGGTGTTTTGTTGGTGGAGTGGAGGTAGGGAATAGGACAGGAAATCATAGTTTAACCATTAATTGGGCGAGACCTGTGATGTATGTTGAGCAGTAGGGATCTGGGTGAGTAAAAATTTGAATTGGAAAGTTTTCTTCTAGGGTAAGGGATTTGCTTATATCTGGGAACAAGATTGGGGGTGGTGGGGAGAAGACAGTTCAAGGATAGCAGTTGGTTTTTAGTAATGATTGGATGAGATGCTCTAAGTTGTAGAAAACCAAAGGCCAGAGATGTGATCTGTATGTTTTAGTAGTAAATAGCCATTTTTAGTTTGTTTTTAAGAGATGAGATGGTATGTCAAGTTTTCCTTTTTTTAACATTTGTTGTATGTAAGACATTGTACTGTGGAGTTTGGAAATAAAATACAGTCCCTGTTTTTAATAACTCTCCGTGGTTAATTAGCTGCTAAAATATGTGGACCAGGTTAAACACAAGGCTGAGTGTGGGGTGTGTACTAGGGTGTCATGGGACCCACCTGAGTTGTGAAGAGAAGCAAGAGAGCACAGGAAAGCCCTGGCAGGGTGGTTCAGTTGGTTGAAATGTCGTCCGGTTGGGTCATGTTCAGGAGGCAACTGATCGATGTTTCTCTCTCCTTTCCTCTCTATAGAATCAATTAAAAAAGAAAAAACTTTAAAAAGACCACAGGAAAGCCTTGAGAAAGGGAGGGGCTGGGGTTGGGCCTTGAAGGCTGGGAGGAATTTGGATAGTCAAGGAGGGTTTCTGAGTGAAGGAATAGTGTGAGCGAAGGCACGGAAGTGGGTGGGAAAGGAGTCTGTTAGATCATAGGGTTGAATGAGAGATTTCATGGAAGTTGAGATTGTGTGGAGTTGGGTCCTAGAAGATTTTTTTTTAACTCTATCCTAAGAAGTTTGGCTTTATTCAGTAGTTGATGGGGAACTGGGGAGTGACAAGATAAGATCTTTGTTTTAGGAAGATTATTTAGGAGAAAAGTGGAGAGATAGGTTGTTGAAACAATTGAGATGGTAATAAGTGCTGATCTAGGAGAGAGGTGGGGGAAAGTAAAAGCTTGGAGGCAGTGGGACAAATAGACAGGGTTTGGGGTTCTGTGAATGGGTTGGGTGTTCACAGCACTGAGGAAGGGAATGCCAGAAAGGAAGACCTAGTAGCTGCTTGAGATTATAAATCTGAGGATTGTGGAGACACTTCACAGGTACAGTTGGAGGAACTGATTTTGGAAGAGAGTGAATGAGTGGCTTGTAAGCACTGTAAAACGTTTCCCTTGATTTGGAGGAAGGGAATGTGGAGGGGGGTACGTGGCAGAGAGAACCTTGATATGATGAGTAATTTTGAACTTGAGATGCATGTAGAAAAGGTTGACAGCCTGGCTGGTGTTGCTCAGTGGTTGAGCATTGACCTATGATCCAAGAGGATACTGGTTCGATTCCCAGTCAGGGTACATGTCTGGGGTTGCGGGCTCCGTTCCCAGTAGGGGGTGTTCAGGAGGCAGCCGATCAGTGATGTTTCTCTCATCAGTGTTTCTATCTATCTCTCTCCTTTCCTTTCTCTCTAAACATCAATGAAAACATGTTGGGGAAAAAAGAAGAAAAAGGTTGAGAAAATGTTTCTTTGGACTGACTGCATGGAAGTTAATGTTGACTTTCTGTATACCCTATTTGGTCCAGTGTTGTGGTGTGGACCTGCACATGCCAAGAAAGGGAGTGGGTGGGAGGGTTTACCTGGAAATCAAGAATGTATGGTGTATGAGTCCTGAAGAGACAGGGGTGAACAATGTGTGCTGGTCACTTTCCTGACTAGGTCCCTTCCTTTTTTAGCATTTCTGCTGTGCAGTGGCTCTGTAATGCTAACAAGAAGTCTGACATTCCTGCCAAGCGCTTGTACTGCTTTTTTTCTTCTCTTTATTCTGTGCTGGTGAGTATAAGATCTCCCCATCTGGACTGGCTGTCTATCCCTCCCTTGCCCTGGATGTAGAGTGATGAAGTAGAGAAGTCCCATGGCAGGACTATTCAGATGGGACTGCATGGGGTGGCAGGACCATATTGTCATCCTCAGCCTAAATAGAAAGCTCGGTGGGCTAACACTCCCTAATGAAATGCAAAGGATGCTGACATCAAAATCTAAGACCAATTACAATTCCTTTGTCCACTGTGCCGCATTTCAATCAGAAGTTGGTTTGGGAACATAGACTTCTTTCTCCCACTGCTGATGCTCAGATGGGGAGCACAGTGGTTATTTATCACTGAGGGAACCTTTATTAACTTTGTAACTGCTGGTGTTGATTTTCGTTGTTTACTTGGATTAGATGATAGTTTGAGATTCTAACTCTTAAAAATGAGTCCTTTTACTTTTTTGAAGGATTCAGATGTTTCTGGGTCTCTGTAGTCTCCCCACCTCATCTAAGGCGGGCTATTCCTGCAGATGGCTGGCTGATCTTGT